CAACACTAGATTCCTGGAGATTTACATTAGATAAGTAACCAGTTCCTGGTGTCATTTAAACTTAAAGTGAAACCCTATATGTTATTGTAACAAAGTTAGTTACTTCATTGTTTATGTACTACATTTTAATGTTTGTTTTTACTTCACAGACTAGAACAAAGTTTTGACCCCCTGGAGGGAATTTTGTGGATATCATGATCCAGGTTCGTTAGTGTCATCACTCTCTGACAGTGTACAGTTGTTACAAAACTGTCATTTTAATACTTTTACTTGAATTATTTAATATACTTGTCCATACTTTGTCATTTTGTAGTGTTTTTCTGTAATCTTTTTAATAGACTGTTCTACCTCGGTAGGCAAGGTTTAGTGTGTTTGTGTGTCAAGAGAGTGAAAAAATGAAATTGTGTCCCAGATATGTGAAGTCATCATTTCTGTCTCATTATGAGAACCCATACCAAACAACTGTCATAATAAAGTGTATATTTGGAATTGATGTGTTGATTCGTATACACACTTAAAACATTTTATAGACTATTCCAAACAACCTTTTCTTCACTGAAACTATTTTAAGTCTACAAGTTAGCCTGAAATCATAAAATGTGAACCATCAAAAGTTAATGTAAAGAACACACTGAGTCAAGTTGTGTGTGTGGTCATCTACTACTACTGTATATGTATAGAAAGTGCATGCTGTCGAAATATATGCCACAAAAACTATTACGTATTGATTCAGATATTTATTTCAAAGTGTAATTCACAACATTATATACTAAACTTAAGGCTTTTTTTGTACATTACAGAGCTGCTAATGACTTCTGAACATCAGTATTATAATATACGAGTAATGAATAACTTGCACACAAGTATATACCTATCTAAGTATAATTATAAAGTGTATATAAAACAAGCTTGGACCAAACCTAGTTAATAACAATTTTCCAAAACTATAGAAATAGATTAAGTTAGTGGATAAATTATAGTTATTACAGTTAACTTCAAAAATACACTTCCGGTAGAAATATTAAAAATAATATCATAAACTTAAATGTAAATATCAAAGGTCATTCAACCTATAGAGTGACAAAATTACATTAAATCACCAATGGGATAACCTTGTCTTTAACATATTATCATCCTTAAACTCAGTGAACCTCACAACACCTACATCAGTTGTAAATGTCTTATTGAATTGGTCTATCTATAAGCAATGATAATAGTAACTATAGATTATGACACCTTATAGTTTGGCACAGAATATTATTTATATTTGTAATCTTATTACAGCTACCAATAAGTACTTATGGGTATTCACATTCTTATATTTATGTTAATAAAGCCAGTTTATGCCTGTTTTGATGACTTATATTAATTATAACGTTAAATTGTTAAACAGAATTAACCAAAAATAATAGTCCATCATTCTAAATAGTATGTGTAGCAATTGTATATTAAAGTTTTGTCTTTCATGCTAACCTAATGACAAATTTTTAATAAAAAAAACTTTATTTTCTACCTACTTCCAGCTATATTGCTTATAAAAAAAATCCTTTATCAGCTAGCTTACAAAATCCCATCCAAATAGGTTATTTTTGTTTGAGCATGTTATACTTAAGTCTTCTTTTAGGTTGTGCTTTTTAACTTATTTTCTTTGAGGGAAATTACAAACTAACTTTTAAAAAGATTTCAAGTTCTTGTTAATCTAAAATACTGTTTAATTCTGTCTGAGGATGTAGTAAAAACTAACTTTTCATTCTGTGGTTTAATGATTATATTTTTATATATTCCTAACTTACTGAATAAGAATATATATTTTATATAAGAATTACAAACTGATGTTTCCTTCTGTATTTAGCACTAACTTAAAGAACATTGATTTATTTCTATTCAACCCACTAAATTCACAAGTTTTAAAATAGACACTAAATATATGTTGAACTTGATTATGCTTGTTTAATTATAGTTCTATGTAGAACATTGAAATCATTATGGAAACATGCCAGCAATTTACAAATCTAAACTAAAAACCCTTAGGTATGGAAAAAAAAAGATTGAGTGTGTGACTTAAAGGAATGAAATCAAAATTGGCAGCCAAACTGGTAGCTACACATGTAGCATTAATAAGAATTTTACAGCAAATATTCATTCATTTAGCTAGCCAGGTCTTGTTTTTTGTTCAGCTTGGGGCAGGATGGTGGGTAAAACAAAATATGGGACCTAGTTAACTAATAAATGAATATTTGCTGTAAAATTCTTATCAATGCTATAAGTGTAGCAATCAGTTAGGCCATCAGTTTTGATTTCATTCCATTAAGTCGCACACTTGATCCTTTTTTTGCTGCACCTTTTTTTTTTTCACACCTAAGGTGTTTTTTTATTAGATATCACGACATTTTTCAGTACACGCCAACAAACCACAGCAAGTAAGAAAGTGACACTCAATAGTAACTCTCATTAGCTTTAGGATCACAACCCTATTGTTCGGAACTTTAAAGAACCATCCAGATTCTATAATATATTATGGTGGTAATTTTTCCTCTCCAAAACAGTGTTAATAAGTTCCTTTATAGTAATGCCATGGAATTTAGATTAATAGCGTCTTGTCATCTCTCCCATACAATCGGTACAGTCATATTAAGCATCATTATTTATGCTAATTGTTTAAGCTAATATCACACGATGCTAAATGCTATTTAATAAGGTTAATATCATAAAATTTAGTATATTTGTTCTGAAAAGTTAGCAATGAATAGTCAATAATAACTGTCCACCTGAATGATTCTCTTGAAAACTTGAGCTAGAAACTCTTAATCTAGCTTGCTTGGCCTAACCAATACTTGTGTATCTGCATGTCCTTTCTCCCTATAGTTTTGCTGCTTTAAATCAACCATCTTTAACTCCAATGACAAAAACCAAACAAGGTGCACTAAAAATGTTACACTGATAGTTCTCTTGACTTTTTGAGTAGGCGTGCGCATAAATTTTCGTAAAATTTGAGCGGTTTTTGTTGAATAACTTTGCAAATGTGGCTTATATTTACACCAAATGAGACTCATGATTATAGGTTGAAAAGATTTATCAGTGTACCAAACTTGGAAAAATAATCCATGAAAGTTAAGTATGTTTTTCTGTCAAGTAAAGTTTCCATACTTTTGGTGCAAAGAAAGAAACTCGACCAAAATTAGAGATGTAATATTTCGGGTATTTCTTTATGGGTTTCTTTGAACTTTGGTATGTGAAGTAAGATTCCAGTAGAGCACATCCAATGAAAATATGTGATAGTTTGGATCATCACAGTCCAAGATACAGAAGGTGAAAAATCGCTAAACTATCACTCCTGTTAATAACACAGTGTCATGCAGCAGGTTGTTTTGGACGCACAACACTGTTGACATGAACAGAGCAGAGTATCATCAGACAACATATTGGTAAATGTGGTTTGAAGGATGTTGATTAGATCCTTCCAAGTAGGAGGAGAGGAATTAAATTATGTTCATACTGAGGGCCTTTTATTTTCTTCCTGTGCATGATGAACAGATGGTGATCAGACTGAAGGAAAAATAAAAACGTTGAGGGGGTTCTGAAAAAGATCATGAATAACCCATAAATACCTTGGTGGAAGGCAATAAAGTAAAAACTTGAGACTGTAGAAATGGATCATTGAGGCTGGATTGAAAGAAACCAACCAAGTTTATGCTGACATACAAAAATGAACTCAATGGAATGTAATATTTACCGTTTATACCCATTTTCATCTCCATAATTATTACCAGTATAGTGTAAGTTACATGATAGTGAAATGATTTGGATACAGAAGGTTGTTCTTATATTTTGCAACTTTTTATCAAATGTCATTTGGAACCGTATGTGTTTTCTTCTAACATCAGTATCTGATAGTGTGGTTTTCGGGCAAGAGAATGTTTTAACACACACACATTGCCAGGTCTTTACTAATAACTACAGATTGATGGATTTACTAGGAAGGCCTGTGACTTTAAGCAGTTTTAAATAGAGATGACACTAACACAATGGAAAGATGTAGATAAATCAGATTGAATAAAGGTGTGTTATTGAGGATATTTATTAAAGTTAAGCTAAGTGGACATTATATTATAACTGGTAAAGAAATGGAATGCAGATATGTGGAAAACACGATATGGCTGGTAAATTGAAATGAAAGAAAAAGGAAGGATTCTTGGCTGCATATTTCTTAGCCTGATTCAAACACAAAAAGGAATGAAACTTAAGAAGCTCATGCTATCACGATTTGAAGAGACCCTTGGAAGTGAGAAGTCTTCCTACATACCTGCTGATACGTTTGCACTGAAGGAAGTATTGACCACTATATATTTCCTCCACAGACTGCAATTAAGATTACCCTGATTGATTTGTGCTATAGAGATTGACAAATTAAGAGGAACGTTTAAAAAATGTAGTTAACGTGATTTTTATCACAAGTTTTAGATCCATTGGTGTCAAATGCTTCGCTAGCTCTTCGGCGTCTCACCCGTTTACTTTTAAATCATTATATCGAATATATATGTATATATAGCGTTTTGGAGAATCTTTCGTCATGCGGCCTGACTGATGACTTCTGTATTATACTAAAGGCCTCTGGGAAGCAAATGATAAGATCTGGAATTCTCATTTTTACGTGCCTCTGACTTTGAATCTACAATGGACAAACTAAGAGAAACTTTTGGGAAAACTTCAGTTTACGTGATTTTTAATACAAATTTCAGTAGGAAACATAGTTCAAAAAAGCTAACTGTTACTTCATGATAGCAAAGAATTTAGTTGAAAAAAAACACCAGTATTACAATTAACTCGGAGGTAATGTAAATATATGGTACTTTAATGCATAAAACCAGAATTTAACTCAAAATCAAATTAGATGCTAAAATAAACTGACAGTTGAAACACAATCCCAATATAAGTTAATAAGTAGTTAAAAGTCATGAGATATTCAAAAGAACTCTCATTCTTGAGTCACTTGCCTTCCGGCAGGTATAACTGCTAGTTCCTATGTGAGGCTATTGGGCCTGCGGCCTTTTCTGGAATTATCTGACAGTTCTACAACAATGTACTCATACTTGACATTTAATAGTGTTCACCATCCATGAGAAAAAGGATTTTATTGAAATTTTAGTTTAAAAATGAACTATCATCACAGAGTAGATTGTATTGAAGTATTTCTTTGTAGCTGCAGTTATCAGTGGAAGTGCCTCGCTTTTCTGTTGCAACACTCGTGATTTTCACTAAAGAAAAACAAATGAGTGTTTTTTAAGTTTGTTTTTTGATTGTTGTATACCTGAAACTTACACCATTTTGTTTGTAACTTGTATTGGTTAAATCTGAAACATATAATTTTTGTGGGGATTTCATCAGCTATAAAAATATTACCTAGTTATGATCGGTGCGGTAGTTTCCGAGTTTTGGACATTTACATCTCAAGCTCCATTATAATAAAATTATACACACTTCACAATATG